CCCTATTTGATAGAAACTGACTGACTGACACATCTTACTTCTCTGATAAAACTCTATTATGAGAGATCCAATGACTCTTATGTCACAAGGCTGACCAATTGAATGGAAGGCAATTCATGATAGGCTTCCACAGTGATGGGAAGGTATCCTAAAATCCTTATGCAATATTGTGTCCCATAAACATTCTGTTGGACTTTATTTATTGATAAATATGCTGCATGACCAAATAACAATGGTGTCAGGGAAAACTAATTTTCTGCCCTTGAACGTCTACATTATTAATGTAAATAGATTATAAAGTAGTGATTTGGGCGTGTTTTTCCCCATTAAACTTTTGAGATGAAAAAAAAAAGACCATGTAGAATACCAAAGTATGTGTGCACACAATCTCACAGCAAAGGTTTATTAAAAAAAAAAAGTTGGAAGAACTATGAAAATGGTATCATGAATTTTATAAGGTGTCTTTCAATCTTTATAATTCTACAGTTTTGTAAAGCATAATCTCCCTTCACATAAAATTTTTTTTGAAGCTCCCCATGGTATGCTTTGTAGAGCTTGGCAGTGGCTGATAAGTGGGAGGAAAAGGGCTGAACTGGGTAGGGGAAGGTGGATTGACAGCGAACAGGGAGAAATGATGAATAAAGAAGACAAATACCAGGGTGGAGTAGGAATAAAAGACAAATGGAAAAGGCTGAGGCAGAAGGGAAAATTGAAAAACAATCTATTAAGGTGGAGGCAGGCCTAGAGGTAATGGATGACACTGTAAACCAAAAGAGAGAAATAAGGAGATGAAAACAAACAAAGCCTATGGTCAGAGGTAGAGGGGGTGGTGGAGAGAGCGAACAAAGGAGAGAAACAGTGGATGTGGGCTGAAAGAGAAAAAGGAGAGGGGAGAAAAGAGAGAAAAAAGAGAAAGGAGAAAGGGGGGGAAATGTTGTTGTTGTGTTTGTCCTTCATTCTCAATGATGATCATGACACCAGGGAGATGATAGCATGACTTGCAATTGACTTTGACTTGAGTGAGGGAGGGCTGTGCAGGGTCACCAGCCTCACTTTCTCCTCCAGAGCCATTTGGGTCCAGTGGCCAGATATCGATCAGGATGACTGGAGATGGCCCAGGATGCAGTGGGAGATTCTGGCCCTTTTAAGCGAAGGTCTTTTCAGGTTCTCACTTTGAGTGAGGTAATGCCTATTCAGTGAACAGGCCTCTTTAAGAAGTGAGTCAAGGGATGGCCTCTTTAATTAAAAAAAAAAATCAAACTGTGAGGGGAAGACTTTCAGGGTTGCTGGCCAAAAGAGAGTTACTATTTACATTAGCTCTGAGCTAGGAGAGACCAAAACATAACCGTTAAGTGGTGCTTGGGTAGGGACCTACTGTAGTCCAATCTATGAGCTCCACAGTGAATTGGGTTTAAGGCTTGTTCTTTAAGAAATCTAGCCAGTAAACAAATCCCAGAGAGGAAGTGGGAGAGGGAGAGGGAAAAGAAGAAAGGGGAAGGAGAGGAGAGGGAAAGAGAAGCACCAAGGCAGACAGAGAAGAGGAAAGAGTGTTATTTTGGACTGAGCTTTTAGTCAGGCTTGTATTAAAATATTTAAAAGAGAAAGAAAGGCTGAACGGTAAATGACAGATCACATAATGAAACAAATGTCCTGACTTGTAAAAGGTTCTTTTCTTATGCCATAGAACAACAGAAAGTCAATTATTAGTACTATGTGGTAAGAAGTCACACCTTAGAATTTCATTTTGGAGAGGCCTAGTGAAATAATGGGGAAAAAAAAAACATTCACATCCCGCCTGTGTCACTTATCTGTGTGACTGTGGGCTGATCATATCATCTCTCAAACCTTCATTGCCTTCATCTGCAAATGAGAATGTTAGTTTTTGTATGACCTATCTCATTGGGCTCTTGAAAGGAGCAAATAAGATAATGTATTCAATAATAACCACTATAAATCTTCAAGGCTATAGGAATTTCAGGCATTTTGATGGTTTCAGAATTCTTGTCATTACATTTAGGTGTTTCAGTCAAGCCCCATTGTCCATGGATGTGCTTAGTACTACTGCATTCACACACACACACACACACACACACACACACACACACACACACACACGTGTTCACTTGACCTTGCCATCCCTTTATCTTAGGCCTTTCTTTCCTTAAATTGCTAAAATCCTAGAAAGAACCATCTACACTTGTTGCCTTCCCTTTTTCACCACTCCCATTCATATCTCAGCTCCTTGTAGTACAGTTTCAGACTTCATCACTTGACTGAAATTTTGTTCTCCAAGATTCCTGATGAACTCTTAACTGCTAACTCTGATGGCCTTTTCCTAGTCTTCATCCTTCTTCACTTCTCTGCTGTTTTTGATTCTATTCTTTTCCCAGGGGTTCAAGTGTCTTCTCTATGGAGACGATGCCTATCTATATCTATATCTACACACATACCTATACATATATTATATACTAGTGTTTATATATATATATATAGCATACATATACATGCTATCTCTCTAGATATATAACTATGTACATACATAATTATAACTGTATAACTATAACTATACATATTATGTGTATTATTTCTCACATTTAGTAGGCAGTTAGAATATAATGTCTTAACATTTATAAAAAGGCTGTAGATGAAAGCTCAATGGTCTCACACTCTTGTCAATAGTGTGAAATTGAAATATTCATATAAATTTCAGCACATTTGGTACCACTAATATTCAACTCAGTGAAATCCAACCTTTATTGGTTTAGTATAAATCTCTGTGCAAAATGCTATGAGAGATGCAGAGCTAAATAAAACATGGTCCATGGAAGAGGGAAGAAGTCATGGGATCAAAGACACAGATAGAGAGGGAAGCCTTGGGATGATGGGATACTTGTTTCTTTGAGCCAGCAGAAAAAGAAGAGTGGATGGGTGAAGACACAGAGATATTTGGGGATATGGAGGACAGGAGGTGAAGGAATTTATTTTTCGGTGGCTTTGAGAGTGTCAGGAAAAAAGGCAATGAGGTCATCTGTTGAGATTGTAAATAGGGAGTTGAGTTGGATAAAACGACTATTGAGAAGCAATGAAAGCTCAGCTAAGCTTAGGCAGCATGAAATTTATGGTGGATGAAATTAGCCCACTTTTATGATTAGCTTCAACAAAGCTCAGAAGCCCCAAAGTAGAGAAATTGATTAGTGGGGGGTTATAGAGGCTTGAGAATTGCTCCAGCGAGCAATTAAGGGAGGGAAGCATTTTAGGATGCTAACTAGCAAACAGATGAATCAGCTGAGCCTAGGATCTAGGTAACTGAAGTCAGAGGTGGATTTGAATCATAGGCAAGCGTCAAAAGCCCAGAGATCCCAGTGAGGACAAAAAGTAAGTACTGGGTGTGTAGGGAATGAGAGAGTGGAAGCACAGGAGGCTGTGGGCAGAAAGTAGAATTTTAGACTTCAGGGTATTTGAGGTGGCACGTTTTTCAACAAGGAGGAGGAGAAACCTTGTACCTGGTTGAAATGGAACGGAGATAGAATTTACTCTGGTTTTGGTAGTTGAGAAATAATAAGGTCAGAGTGTTGGAAGGGTGATGAACTTATATATTGATCTCAATGTATCCTGAGGGATGTATGAAATCTAGGCTAACACTTTAAGAAATTTCATAATTTTATTTTTTGGAGAGCAGATAGAGTGTTGGATGTAGAGTTAGGAAGAGCTGAGTTCAAATCCTGCCTCAGACATTTATTAGCTGTGTGACCGTGGGCAAGACACTTAATATCTGTGCCTCAATTTCTTCATGTGTAAAATGAGAAAACTAGATGTCATAGTGGATGGAACTCAGAGCCTGGAGTCAGGAAGACCATCTTCCTGAGTTCAAATCTGGCCTCAGACACTTACTAGCTTTGTGACCCATGGCCAGTCACTTCACCCTATTTGCTACACTTTCCTTATCTGTAAAAAGAGATAGAAAAGGAAATGGCGAAACACTACAGGATCTTTGCCAAGAAAACCCCAAACGGGGTCAGGAAGAGTCAGACACAACTGAAAAATGACTGAACAATAAAATGGGGATTGAACTGGATGACCTTGAAGATCCCTTCCCAGTTCTAATTCTATGATCTGATGAAAATGATGATGATGATGATGATGATGATAGCATTTACATAATGTTTTTAAGGTTTGCAGAGTGCCTTAGAAACATTTTCTCATTTGATCATCTCAATAACCCTAGCAGGTAGATACTATGATTGTTCTCATTTTATAGATGAGGAAACTGAGGCTGAGAGAGGTTAAGTGACTTGCTCAGGGTCACACAGCTAGGAATCCATACATTGAAGCAGAACTTGAACTCAGGGTATCCTGATTCCAACTCCAACACTCTATCTACTTTACCTTCTAGTTGTCTGTGACCCTATTCTTCACTAGAGATGTCCCTAAAATGGACAGGGAACTTGGATTCCTTTCCCCCCCCCTCTTTTTGAACTATATGTAAGATCTTGGGGCAAGTAATTAATTATCTATAGGTCTTGATTGTCCCATCTCTAAAATAGGTGTGATAAATGGCATAGTGAGTAGAATGCTGGCTGAATATGAGGATTGGGAAGACCAGAATTCAAATAACACTCCAGATATGAGCCATGTGAACGTGGGCAAAGCTAAAGCTAGACCTAGAGTCTCAGCCTTTTCATTTGAGGGGGTTAGACAGGATGGCTTTGAAGATCTTTTTGAAATCTAAATCTATATGATCCTTTAATGATGTCAGTATGATAGAGGTGTTTTTTGGATATGCCAAGTATTTGACCTCTTTGGAAGAAAGACACCACGCTAATTCAGAGAAGATTATATTAGTAGTAGGCTATCTTAAAGCACAAAAATGTCCTAATCCTTAAATACTTGGGAGTTTCCATCTTTAAAATGTTGTCGAGAACATGCCGTTTTTATTAATGGAAGATCTTTCCTTCAGTATAGGTTCACACATAATATTGGCAAGCATGTAAAAATCATACCTCATTTTTTTCTTTTAGCTTTGTGATCATAACAATGACGGGACTGTCCTCTTGCCAGACCATATGCCAGAAATCATTCACAGTGTTAATTATGGGCCCCTGTGTGGCGATGAAAGCTTTCTCCTCGCCACTGTAACCCTGGTTTAAATGCACAGACAAAAATATTGGCTTTAAATTCATGCCTTGCTCTAGAAATTCAGGTGAAAGATCTATAGAACAAAATCGCTGTGTGAGTCCAAAAGCAACACAGACTAGAATGTTGCTGAATATCACCTCAGATTCTATGTGGTGGTTTTTCTAGCAAGCCAAGCATAGCATTATGGTACCCACTTGGACAAGCCATGAGAACAAGAGGCTGCCAGGACCATGTAGGGAAGATATAATAAACATGCTACTGAAAAGGTTAACAGTTGAAAAAAAACATGCAAAATATTTAATAATGAAATCAAATGAATCTTAAGCTACTTCAACAGGAGAGGGGTGGCAGGATGGGTAAGGAATGAGACTATTATAATCATCAGGAAGAAATACATCATTATTTACTCACCCTAATGTAGTTAGCATTAATGTAGGTACTCAAAGAATCAGCTGGATTTTTTGGCTTTAAACGCACTCTGCTGAGAGGATCTAGTAATCAAAAGAAAACAAGAAAATTAAGTAGATTACCCTGGAAAAGTTTCCTCATGAGCTCAAGTATCAGAGGGTAGAATAATACAGTAGATAGCACAGAATCATGAAACCTTAAGAGTTGGAAGGACTTCTGAGGACTTTTAGGTGTACTTCTTACCTCACATAGGAATCCTCATCCCTTTAAAATATCTCTGACAATTAAATATCTAGCCATCTTCTACTTGAATGCCTTAGGCAATGGAGAACTCACTACCCTGGAAGGATATTGTTAGGCAGAATTACTAGAATGTCCTTCCTTATGTAGAGCTCAAATCTCTTGGTGTTTTTGTCTTTTGGAGTGACTCCAAATGTATTTAATCCCTCTTCCACATGATCACCCTTGAGATATTTGAAAGTAGCTGTCAGATAATTTAGTGCTTCTGGCAGGTTCCATTTTATTGCTAGCTATTGATATGGAAAAACTGCATAGGATTTTAATAGTCTTTTTGTCATTATCCACTGACCACATACAAATATCTCCTGACCAGTCAATTTAAGTCATTTCTATTCAACTCAACAAACATTTACGCAAGCCATTTCCTGGAATGGCCCTGCTCAGGAAGCCACCTGGATTTCATGCTCTTGTCCTCCATTCCCTTAGATGTACAATGGGGCAATTGGACCTTCTCTCCTTTTCATCCCTTCTATGGTCTCCATTAATTATCCAAAAATGGTTCACACCATTTACAATACAAGTCTTTCATAATCCTATGCTAACTGACATTAAAGTAGGAGGTACTTGGGAAAGAAAGGATGTGTCAAAGAATTATAGTCTAGCCATACTAGTCTACTTTTCCCCATACACAATACCCCATATCTTTTCCTCTTGCCATTCCAATCACAGTCCTTGATGTCTAAAAGGCTCTTTCTCTTCACCTTAGCTTCTTAGAATCAGTGACTTCCTTCAAGACTCAGTACAAGTGCTATATTCTGCAGGAGGCCTTATACAGTCTAGTATCCTCTATTTGCATATCTAAAGGCAATGGAGAATTCACTACCTCAGAAGGAAGGTTTGGGGGCCAGGGCCTTTCCCTCTAAAGCAGAGATTCTTAACCTGGGGTCCATAAACTATTTTTTAATATGTTAATAACTGTATTTCAATATTTTTTTTGTAATCCCATGTAACTTATTTTAACATTTAAAATGTTCTTCTGAGAAGGGGTTGATAGCCTACCCTAGACTGCCAAAGGAGTTTATGATGCAAAAAGTTTCCATATCCCAGCTCCAACATTACCTTGTATCTATGTTGTACATATCATGTTTATACATACATATATAGATCATGTAATATTAGAAAGAATAAAATATTTATATAAATAAAATTAATTATATTAATGTCATATTATGTTTTATATATAGCATTACATATCATATAACATATTTATATATGTACCTATTAACCCCTCCATTAGAATATAAGTTTCTTGGGGGCAGGGACATTTTTAATTTTTCTTTGTATCCTCAGTGCTTAATACCGTGCCTGGCAAATGCCTGTTGATTAATTTTGGCCATGGCCAAAATTCTGCTCTTTGAAGAATTTTGCCTCATTCAGAATGTAATAAATTTTGGGGACAATATGCTACATGATGCCAAGTCTAGGAATATAATTGACCAGTCATAAGTGTGGGCAAAGATAAGGTTTCAGAATAGTCCAAATGAATTATGAAATTAGCACATTGTGATGCCAAACCAGAAGGTGGTGTGGACACTATACCATATTCTATTAGTATGAAATACTTTGCCTCATATCTTTGGGATGAAGGTATGTAAGACAACCGCCTGGTTTTCAAGTGACAATATCAATATATTTTGCTTCAAAGGGCTAAGATCTATTTGCAGCTCTATGCTGGGAAATAAGATAGATTTTTTTCTTACTAACTTTGACTAAAAAGAGCATCTCTTAGTCATATCACAGGGCAGTAATAGAAAACCAGGGGATAGTGATCTGTGCCAAAAATCAGGAAGAATATTTCCTGGTTTCACCCACTTCTACATATTCTTTGACTGAAAATACTTCCCATACAGCTCCTTACAGGCCATATAAATAAGCCACTCAAAGAATCATGGAACTGGAAGGATAATTAGTGATCAGTAAAGTGTGAGGAAAGATAAGTTTTCAGAATAACCTAGAGGAAATCTTACTTGGCACACTGCTGCCAAAACAGAAGATGGTATAGAGATAATCATTATCCAGTCCAAGGGTTCATGATCTTTTTTTATTATCATCCACCCCTTTGGCAGTTTGGTAAAACTTATAGACTTCCCCTCTCCAAATCATGTTTCAAGTGCATAAAATAAAATATATAGATTATAAAGGCAACTACTTTGAAATAAAGATTTATTTTCCCAACCAAGGTATGTAGACTGATATCTAGGGGTTTGTGAATTTGGATGGGGAAAAATTATATCTTAATTTTAATATAATTTGGAGGATCCATGGATCCTAGTTTAAGAACTCTCATCCAATCCAATTCTCTCAATTCACAGAAGAGGAAAACAAGATCTAGAAGGATGAGGCTGCTTGCCCTAAGGATATGCATTTACCAAATGATGGAGGTCAGAGTTGAGTCAAGCAAGTCTGTAACTATTATCTCCTTCCTGGGCATTATCTTCAGCAACTTGGCAAACATGAATCCTCTCAGGTCTGAGAATAATCCAGTAGGCAATGCTATTGATTCTGCCATGGATAGGCTAGTCTAGGTGTCCCTATACTACTTAATATATATATTGTCATACTGCTCTGGCTAGCTATAAAGGCAAATAGATATTCCACCCTGAAAATGCCAAGTACCAATTGGAAAGAAACATCTTTCTTACTCATGCACAACAGACTATTCACTGACAAAACATGATTTAGCCAAAGTCTAAAGAGCAATGTATTTGACATTCTAGGGTCACTTTTCAGGCACAGGAAATCAGATAACAAAACCTTCAAGGCACAAATTGTTAGATAAAATAAATCAGTGGTTTCTATCCTTCAGATGTCTTATCACAGGGTAGAGGTCATAGATTCTTGAGGGCTAAGGCTGTGGTTCCAATAGGCTACCAGTTCCTACCAAATTAGAAAGTAGAATGGAAGTTACTTGAGGTCAGGGAATGCCTTGGTGTCACTAGTACAGTATGTTATACATAGTTGGCACTTACTAAATGTTTGTAGGATGGAATTGGGTCTTTGCATAAGCAGTCCCATCTGTCTGAAATATACTCCTTCCTCACTTCCACCTTGCAGAAGTCCTCACTTCCTTCGAATTACAGCTCAGAGACTACATCCTAAAACATTGTACACAGCAACAGCAGCACTATGCGATGACCAATTTTGATAGACTTAGATCTTTTCAGCAATGCAAGGATTTAAGACAATTCCAAAAGACTCATGTAGATCGAAGAATACTATTTTCTCTTTTGTTGTTGTTTTTTTTCTCATGGTTTTGCCCTTTGGTTCCAATTTTTCTTTACAACATGACTAATGTAGAAATATGTTTAATGTGATTGTGAAAGTATGGCCTATATCACATTGCATGCCATCTTGTGGAGGGGGGAAGAGAGGGAGAGGGAGAAAATTAGAGTTCAAAATTTTATAAGAGTGAACTTTGAAAACAATAAATAGATAGATAGATAAACAAATGAACAAATGGATAGTTAGATAGATGATAGATAGATAAATAAGACTACCTTCTAGATGGTTTTCCTAATCACCTATTATTATCTTTCCTTCTTGAAATTACTTTGCATTACTCTATGTGTGTAAATATGCATGTATGTGCGTATGTGTGTGTGTTTGGAGGATGTTTAGAGTTATGACTCCATTGTAATAGGATACTCCAAGTGAGGAAGCTCTTTCTCTAAATGAAGATCTTTAGTTATTTTGCAATGAATAGTCTTTGAGTAAAACCTGAGAAATGACAGGATAAGTAAGGTGTCGAGGGTCACACTAGTTAGTTGTCTATGTGTCAAGAGGGAGAAATTAAATCCAGGTCTTCCAGACTCCAAGACCAGGTGATTCTGCATGGTGCCATACTGCCTCAACTTCATATGTACTATGTAATTAATAATTTGTTTGCATGTAGTATATATAAAAGCTCCTTGAAGGCTATTTGTCTCTGTACCTCCAAGTGCCTGCTATAAATGGCTTGCACATAGTAGGTGCTTATTGAAAGTGTAAATATGTGTAATTGAACTCAATTGAGAAAGTTTCAAGTCTGGAGACGGATTGTGGGTCTCTTGTCTGTAGACAAGCCTAGCTAAGTTCAGAGAGGTTCACCCTTAGTTTGGTTATGAGAAGGTGAAATCTGGGGCCATAACAATTTATGAAGACTCTCTAGTCTGCTAAATTATAGAGGGTCTCATATTTGAATTAATGGGGGGGGAGTGCTATGAGTGAATCACAAACCACTGATGTATTTAAATATTTGTGGGAAAAACTATACATAATATCAAGTGCAAGATGTCCTTTACACAAAATTTAGAATATAATTCAGGATTCTCTCTCAGCATGGCAATTACAAGCAAGAATGACGTGGAGAGTCTCTGGTCAGAGAAATAAAATTCTGTCCTTACCCTCCTAGACTTCTCCAGTAAGGAAAATTTGCTTTTCTTAGCAATATGAGGACAGGAAACCTCTCATTCCTTTTCAGCACACACTGATTATTAGAAGTTTCCACAAACACCCTAAACCACTCAGCCTTGAAAAAAAACACCCACTTCCTTTAGTTTTTACAATGGCTGTGATGAACCTGATGTAGTGTGACCTCTACCCTATAAAATAGCTTAGACAGGCTCCCTGCTTAGCAGCTAAGTTAAGTTTATGTATGGAAATTAATAATTTACAGCATTTCCCAAGATTTACTGGTTCTCAAATACTTTCTTTTTAATCAAGAACATAACAGAATGCTAGTAAAAGAGAAACCATACGTTCCCCACCAAACCATATTTAATTTAAAGTATATTAGTTCAGGCTA